CCTGCCGCCACTGACTTAGCCATCCTCGAACCCAAAGAAAGATGAAGTGTACCTCAACCTTGTGCTCGAATACGTCCCCGAGACCGTCTACCGCGCTAGCCGCCACTACGCCAAGCTCAAGCAGCCCATGCCCATGCTCCAAATCAAACTGTATATGTACCAGCTTCTCCGCTCCCTCATGTACATCCACTCCATCGGCATCTGCCACCGCGACATCAAGCCCCAGAACCTCCTCCTTAACCCTGCCACCGGCGTCCTCAAGCTCTGTGACTTTGGCTCCGCCAAGATCCTCGTCGCCGGCGAGCCCAACGTTAGCTACATCTGCTCGCGCTACTACCGCGCGCCGGAGCTCATCTTCGGTGCCACGAACTACACAACCAACATCGGTACGTCCAGAGATCATGCTGAGCTCCGGACGCTGAATAACTCGACTCGCGTGCAGACATCTGGTCAACTGGATGTGTCATGGCGGAGCTCATGCTCGGCCAACCGCTCTTCCCTGGAGAGAGTGGGATCGACCAGCTGGTGGAGATCATCAAGGTGCTTGGGACGCCGTCGCGAGACCAGATCAAGACGATGAACCCGAACTACATGGAGCACAAGTTCCCCCAGATCAAGCCGCACCCGTTCTCGAAGGTACAGACCCTGCTGAACGGCGCCCGGACCCCCGCTGAGGCTCTCTCTCAGGTCTTCCGGCCGCGCACGGCACCCGAGGCCATCGACCTCGTCTCTAAGCTGCTCGAGTACACGCCCGAGGCACGGTTGAGCGCGGTCGAAGCGATGTGCCACCCCTTCTTTGACGAGCTCCGGCAGGAGGGCGCGAGGATGCCGAACGGAAAGGAGTTCCCTCCGCTGTTCGACTTTACGCGGGAGGGTGAGTCTATGTTGGCGACATGGCTATTTCCATTCAAAAGTGCTGACGACCCGGACAGAGTTGTCGGTACGGCCGGACCTGAACAGGACGCTGGTGCCGCCGCACTGCGAGACGGAGCTGGCGTCGCGCCAGATCAACCTGGACACGTTTGTGCCGATACCATTGGAAGAGCTACGGATCTCTCTGGACTGACGAGCGGGGAGCGTGCGCATGGCCTCAGCCTCTGCCGTGGACGGTGGGACTTGTAGTAGCGTTTTCGGTTTCTCATGTTTCCAGAGTTCTCGCAATGCCTCTCTCCTCCCTCCTCCCGTGGTCGCGGCAGCGGGCAGACAGGTCGTCTGTCGGTTGTTGTCGGCGGACGACCGGCGACCGGGCTGCGGTGTCTAGGCGCAGTGGACGTCCACACGACGAGGACAGCAACTCGCGGTCGCCGCCCGCCACGGCCGCATGTGCCGCGAACGTGTCCGCGTCCGGGTCGGCCGCCCTGTGTGGTGTGGGTGGGGAGTGTTATATATCTTGAAACGCAAAGGGTGGGCTGTGGCTGCGCTGGTCCCGACTGTTCTGTCTGTCGCCTGATCCATTCCATGTTTGTATGCACACGCGATGTTGTGAAATTGAGCACGGTCGAGGGTCTCGAACTGAACGGACGCGTGCAGCGGATGTCGCGATAGAAGAGCGAAGAGGCGTGTGTTATGTAAACCGGCCTGACGCCGTATGTCGCAAAAAACACAGCGCGGAGGGCACGAGCGCCAATTCTTGCGCGACATCGCGAGCTCCTCACGCGACCGAGACAACGGGCGCCTATTTGTGTGCACTCGCCGCCAACAGCCACAAAACTCGTCCCAGTCCGCCATCTCCGTCCTCACCCTCACACCCCCGCCCCCGCCCCCGCCGACAACGCACCCGCTCCCGTCCTCGTCGCTCGCAATGTCTGCGCAGTCCCTCCCGGGAAACAGTGCGGCCTACGTCTGCGACACGATCCCCCCGCCCCGCCTCCTCGGCGACAAGCCCTCCCGCTCGCCCAGCCCGTACCTGCCCTCCCCGCCCTCGGTCTCCGTCACCACGTTCGACGCACCCATCCTCGTCCCGGACGACACATCCCAGGACCTATCTGACCACCTTTCTCCGATGTCCCAACCCAGCGCCGCAGGGCCGAGCACGGCCGTACAGAGCCCAGGCGGCCCGGCAGCCTTTCCCTCCCAGCCACCCGCGCGCAAGCTCTGCGTCCGCCACCAGCGCATGGCCGACGAGGGCACCAACTTGAAGCTCCAGCAGGTATGTGTCCGCGGTCTTTGTTGCGCGCGCTGCGCCGTCCAGCGCGGCGGACGGGCGGGGCTCGATGTTGGAGATATGATTGTGGGTGCTCGGGATTTAGCGCACCCGCGCGGTCGTTCCGCGTCCGCGCCGATGCTCTTCTTCTCTCCTCCCCCCTTCGCTCGCACCCCCGCCCATGTTACACGTAAAGCCCGCGTTATCAGTCTCTGCCGATTTGCTCACTTGACTTTTCCCCCTCGCCCAGGCTCTCGATGCGCTCCCTGTCGCCGAGCGCGAAGCAGTAAGCGCGATATGGTCCTCCTTCTCGTCTTCGACCCACCCCCGCCGCGCGCTCATCCTCCAGGGGCTCCTCACCATGTGCTGCTTCTCGCAGCTCTCCCTCCTCACCGAGCAGCTCGCCCAGCTCATCCGCATCGATCCCTTCGCGATCTTCCCCCGCGAAGTCTCCCTCAAGATCCTCGGCTACCTCGACGCGACCTCCCTCTGTCGCGCAGCGCAGGTCTCGCGCCAGTGGAAGGGTCTCGCCGACGACGATATCCTCTGGCGTGGTATCTGCGAGCAGCATATCGGCCAGAAGTGCCTCAAGTGCGGCTGGGGCCTCCCCATCCTCGAGAAGAAACGACGCACGGTGCCCCTTCCGACCACCTCGCCCTCGCCCGCGCCGACGCCCAGCTCCTCGGCGCAGGGGCACTCGCACCTGAAGCGACCGCGGGACGTGGCCGAGGGGGGCCCCTCGGCGGGCGCAAGCCCAAGCTCAGCCTCCGCGGCGCATTCGGCGAAGCGCCTCCGTCTCGAGACGGACGACGATCACTCGGGAGCGGCATCCCCTCCGTCAACGCCGGCGAACACGGTGCCGCCCTCGCCGTACCCCTCGAACCCTCTTATCGTGCCTTCTGCAGCCGAGCGACTCCCGACGAACCTCAAGACACGGCCATGGAAGGACGTGTACTGCGAGCGCTTGACGATCGAGCGAAATTGGCGGCGGGGACGGTGCACGGTCCGCACGCTCAAGGGACACACCGACGGCGTGATGTGCCTGCAGTTCTCCGAGACGTTGGCGCACCCGTCCTTCCCGGTGCTCATCACTGGCTCGTACGACCGCACCGCGCGCGTGTGGAACCTCGAGACGGGCGCGGAGGTGCACACGCTCGTGGGCCACACCCGCGCCATCCGCGCGCTGCAGTTCGACGCGGCGAAGCTCATCACGGGCAGCATGGACCATACCATGCGCGTCTGGAACTGGCGCACCGGGCAGTGCCTCAAGACGCTCGAGGGCCACACCGAGGGCGTCGTGTGCCTCAACTTTGACTCGAACGTGCTCGCGTCCGGCTCGGTCGACACCACCGTCAAGGTCTGGAACTTCCGCACCGGCGAGTGCTTCACGCTCCGCGGGCACTGCGACTGGGTGAACGCCGTCCAGCTTTGGGACTCCACCGCGACAACAAGCGGGTGTGGGGGCGCGGCCACGCCGACGTCTATCGAACATGGCTCGTCCGCGCCGCACATCGACCCGGGCAAGATGCTCTTCTCGGCTTCGGACGACGGGACGATTCGTCTCTGGGATCTCTCGCTGCGCACGTGCGTGCGCCAGTTCCGGGGCCACGTCGGGCAGGTGCAGAGCCTGAAGTTGCTGCTCGTCGACGACGAAGACCACCGGGACGACGGCTCTGACGGGGCGCGGTCGCATCGCGAGTCGTCCGCGGAGCCCACGCTCCCTTCGCGGTCGCCGAGGTCGCCGCCGTACCTGCATCCGGGCGCGTCGCCGACGCTGTCGAGGCGGTCGACGGCGACGGCGCCAGGCTCGCCGGTGAAGCGCCAGAAGCCGGTGCTGATCTCGGGTAGCTTGGACAATACGATCAAGGTGTGGGATATCGAGGAGGGCAAGGTCCAGCGCACGCTCTTCGGGCACATAGAGGGCGTGTGGGCCGTCGCGAGCGACAAGCTGCGGCTCGTCAGCGGCAGCCACGACCGCACGATCAAGGTATGTCGCGTTTGGGTTAGGCCTTGTGTTGGTTTTTGTTTTCTGGTGCTGACGGTGTGCTGTCACTGCAGGTGTGGTCGCGCGAGGAGGGCAACTGCACGGCAACGCTCGTCGGGCACCGCGGCGCGGTGACGTGCCTCGCGCTCGGTGAGGACAAGATTGTGTCCGGGAGCGACGACGGCGACGTGCGCGTTTGGAGCTTCAGCGAGGAGCAACAGCACCATCACCACGAGTCGTAGTTCCCTTCCTCTTTGTCCTGGCCGCATTCCTCTTCGTCTCTCTCGTCTCTCTCTGTGCCACCCGGGGCCTCTCGATCGAGGTGTCCCGACACTCAAGAGTACTTGTATACACCGTGTCTGTACATTATTGCCGTACTTTATACCTCTCTCTGCGTCTCCGCCGGATGAGTTAGTAGCAGCAGTCGTCGTCGTTTATATGTCGCCGCTAGTGCCACCTTCGAGGAGTCGTGTGGGCATCGACCATCGGCGGTGCTGTCCTGTTCTAGTCGTGTTTCGTCCTGTGTTGTATCCACCTAGCTCGCTCGGTTCGCACCCGTCCGTACTTATCACGCTCGATCACTGGTTCTAGAGGTTTATGTTATGCATCGTGGATTTCCCGACGGCTCCGAGTGAGTGGATTTGGGTCTTGGAAAGTTGTGCTTGCATGTAGAGCCGTTCTGCAATTTTATGCATGGATTTAAGGTTCGTCCCCCAGGTCCATGCGCAAGCGTCGGTGCGGGCTACGTCCCGGGCTCGTCGGAAGTGCACACGGAGGAGCTTGGGGAGGATGACTTGGTTGTTTGTACTCTCGGGAATGCGACGGGAGGACGGCTTTACACACATGATAGTCCGCGGGGCTAGTAGAGGTTAGGGTGGCGTGGCCGAGTTGGTCTAAGGCGTCGGATTTAAGTACTTTCTTGATTCCCGATGGGAGCAATCCCGCGCGAGTTCGAACCTCGCCGCCACCATTTCGTTTTGGCCCCCAATGCGTTTTCTTTCCCTGCCGGCTTGTTCACGTCCGGCACGCCTTGCGCTACAATTATGCCGAACGATGAATTGGTATCTAGGCAGGTCCCAGGCGCAGATGGGGCTGGCAGACGGGGGACAAGTCGATTGAGCGAACGAGGCGTGCAGAACAGTATTTTACAAAATGGACGTGTCGAACCCCAATGGACAAACCATCATGATCCCAGACCTGGACCTGAACCCGGTATCAACCTATACCTTGTTGGTATTGACGAGCTGTTCGAGGACCATCCATGCTCAGGCCCCAAAGAGCTGTGTGAAGTGAGGTGCATAGGTTAGCGTTTTGGCGCAGGTCGAATGTAGGGTAGGAACGACGTACGCCAGAGATGCTGTCCTTGCCGCCGGGCATTTCCCGGACGCTGTGGAGGGGTGAGCATTACAATCCACTGACGGCGTTGGACTTGGGAGGGATGGACGGACCGACGGGTGGGCTTGAAGCCGTTGTTGGCGGGCTCGGGCGCGTCCCATAGGCTCGCGACGCTCGACGTCGTCCGCCTGCTCCTGTTGGGTGGGGACAGCATCCTCAGTCTACGAACGCATTCAGAGAGTGGGATGCACCAACTTTGGCCGGGTGTCGTCCTCCGCCTCGGCATCTCCGTTCTGAGGGTCGGGGCTGGTTGTGGCAGACGCCTGTCGCCAAGAGAGTGTGAGTACACAGCCGACATGGAGCATGGACGAGGCGCGTACGGCTGTGGTAGCAGGCTTGGGAGGGGCACGCGCAAGCGCGTCGTCCTCGCCCGCGTCGCCGCCAAAGAGGGCGTGGTGGGCCCCGCCTGGGGGCTCGCGCACGCGGCGGGTGGGCTTGAAGTCGGCGGCGCCGGCGGACGCTTGGGCTGCGCGTGTTGTGAGCGGACGGTTGCTTGGCTGGATGTGGTGCACATACCTGCAGGGACAAAGTCGGAGCTGGCGGAGGGATCCGTCTCCGCCGCGTCTACGGCGCCACCGGTGATCTTGCCGAACTTCGCGTAGCCTGCGCGGGCCGGCGCGTTCAGCGGGCAGGAGGATGCGGTGAGGGGCGATGGGGGACGTACGAGGGAGCTTCTGGATGTTACTGAAGTTGGTGTCGACGGTCACGCCGGCGTACCTGGCGAGGAGGGGGCGGGGGTTCTTAGCGGGTGTATCGGGGCCTTTGTGCGGGGGGAGGCGTGACTTACTTGAGGAACTCGATGAGGGTGCGCTTGGTGAAGACGATGTTGGTGCTGTCCCAGTCGAGCATGCCTAGCGAGGGGTGGTTGAGTGAGCATGAATGCGTGGCGACGCGCGGGAGGGAAGACGAACCGAGTTGCGCGGGCCAGTCGCGCTCTTTGGCTGGGTCGATGGTGTTCGAAGGAGTGAAGCTGGAGACATGGTCAATACAGACGCGTTTTTGGGCACAGAGGCTGTCGTACGTAGCACTCATGTTTGATGCAGAGGATGTACAAGCAGAGGGAGCAAGCGTGGCTGAGACTGAGACTTGAGCCCGACCTTGGTCGCGTCTGTGGCACATGGCGACCGTCGCAGACTCGTGGTACCCGCTTACGTCATCGCAGTTTCCTTACGGGGACATCCGCCCCTGCTCTCCACGCCGTCCGCGCCGGCGAGGGCGCACTCGGCACCGACAACGACGACGACGAGGACGACGGCGGACGTCGCGCACAAGCCTGCTTATTTATTCGCTTGTTATCCACTTGCACTCATACCACCATGCTCTCTGCCCGTGCCGCGTCTCTCCGCCCCGCTATCGCCGCTGCCATACGCACGCACTCGACGCACGCTAGAACGTCTGCGCCCCTCGCTTCCGCTGCCTACGTCGATCCTGCTCGTTCGCAGGAGCCCTCAGTACGCACCACACCAGAGAACATCTCGTCAGAACTGCGGCAGGAGCTGGAGAGTGCGCTCAGGGTCGACCAAGCAGGCGAACTCGCGGCGAACTGGATATACAAGGGGCAGCATGACGTTCTCGGCCGTGACCCAGCCACAGGGCCCCTGATCCAGGTGAGTATTAGTTGTGAGCTCTTTGCCTGGGCTATCCTCATAGCGCATCCAGGACATGTGGGATCAAGAGAAGAAACACCTTACAGTCATGAACAAGATGCAGACACAACACCGCATACGGCCAACACTCCTCTGGGAACTGGCTCGTGTGGGGGGATATGGTCTCGGTGCAGTCACCGCCCTGATGGGTAGAGAGGCCGCAATGGCATGCACAGAGGCAGTCGAGACCGTCATTGGCGAGCACTACGACGAGTACGTCCTCGCCGTTATGCATACAATGTTAGCAGTTGCTGACTATTGCCTTCCAGCCAACTGAAGGCATTCGAGCAACTCCCTGCAGATCATCCGAGCGTACCCCTATTGAAGGAGGTGATCACAGAGTTCCGAGACGACGAACTTGAGCACCTAGACATAGCGGTCGAGAACGACTCTCAGAAAGCTCCTGCGCACGCATTGTTGAGCACAGTCGTCGGGGCGGGATGCAAAGTTGCAATCGAGCTATGCAAGAGGTTCTGAGAGAGGATCTTTGTCGCGGACTTGTAGGATTGTCGGATACAGTATACCGTAGTAATACTCGGATGCACGAATGCGAGAGCATTCCACCGCTCAGTCGGACGCCTCCGGCGCGGGCGCAACGCGTGCTAGGGACTCGCCCTTGCGCTTGCCTGCCCAGTCCCACTTGAGCTATGTGCGAACGTGCGAGGTCAAGAAAAAGGAAGGGGTGCAGGTGGACAGCAGGACGTACGTCTTGCTGCCAGGCGAGGGCGAGCATGGCGCCAGGGACGACCAGCATGCCCACGATGGACTGTCTTGCTGTCCGCGAGTTGAACCGGAAGTTCTTGTACACCGCCTCGCGCTACGACCGCACATCGGAACCCGAACACTGGCGAGGGATGGGTGGGGAGAAGGGGCGCACCATGGTGTTCCATCGCTCGACGGCGGGGTCCGTCTACAACAACCTCCTGGTGAGCGGTTGCTGTTCTCATACCCGACTATGTTCCATACCTTCGTGTATCCTGAAATCCATGAGACACATGAGCTACGGTAGGCAGGAAGCCGCAGAACGAGTACGCACCGTGTCCGGCCATGGTGGAAGACAATCACAGAGTTACAGTCCACAGGCGCCCGTCACTCTTCCGCTAACCACCATCATCTCCCCCTTCCCCCTCCGACTTTTAACTCTCACACTCTCGCGATGGCGTATAACAGGGAATGGGATCAGGGAAAGAATGCAGACTATGACTCTTGGCCACCGGCTCCGAGGGGGAATACTCACACGCGCGACGAGGACTACTACGGCGACAGCAAGCGCAGGAAGCACAACGACGGCGTACGCACCCACTCTCTACTCCCTCATGGCTCAGCGACTTCACAGATATGCTTGCAGGGGTACGACGCGTCCCAAGGCTACGACAACTCTGGTTACGAAGGCCGTCAATCCTACGACCAGGGCTGGTACCAAGACGATCGGCCCTCGAGGGGAGGCGGCCCACACAACAAGAAACGCCTCATCCCCAGCGAACCCAGCCCGCATGTTATCTTCCTCGGCCTCGACCCAGACTTCACTGAGTCTGACGTATGTGTGGCTTCACCGCGTCCTGGGTGCCCCCGCTAACAATGTGGCTAAACCGGTTTCCAGATGCAAGCCTACCTCACAAGCAACAGCTGCAGCATCGAGTCGGTCACGATAATCCGAGACAGAACTACAGGCACTTGCCCCTTCGTACTTCCTATGCATTCAACAGCGCATTGACGTCTTCTTTCTTCCGCGCCTCCCCCAACCTTCGCACTCCGAACGTCCGCCAACAGGTGTCTCAAAAGGCTTCGGCTTCGCGCAGTTCACAACCACCGAACATGCACGCGCATTTGTGGACCCTCTGTTCCCATTCATCCAGATCCCGCCACCTGCGTCGCACGGTGCATCTGCGACGGCGGCCTTCTATCACGCGCTTGAAGCGGGCAGCCCCGCCCCGCCCGGTGGTCGTCGTGTCAAGATTGATTACTCGCAGAGCGCCGCCCCCGGGGACAGGCGAGCGAAGGGCCCAGTCCAGACGAACGACGGTACCCGAGACATCGGGAACACGCAGGCCCCAGTCTTGCTCTTCCGAGGATTGGATCCGCTTTCCGGCCCACAGGCCATCGCGCAGGCTATGAAGACGTCTGCCGGGCCTGGCAAGGAGGGCGGTAAGGGCATGCGGAGGATCATCCTCATCAAGGACAAGACCACGACCGCCAGCTGGGGCTTCGCCTTTGTTGAGTTTGTGGACGTGCAAGTGAGCATTTCTGCCTTCATGATCCAACGAGCATCATTGACAGTCCTTCCAGTCTGCCGCAGCCGTCCTTGCCGCTACGATGTCTCCTCAGTTGCATCCCAACGGGTTCCGCATCTCCGACCGGCCAGTTGCTGCATCGTTTGCGCATCCCTACTCTTTCCAGCCGCTACCGGATTACTCGTTAAAGGACGAAGCGTCCTTGGCGTCTAGTCTGAGCCTGGGCGGTGCGGAAGGAATGTGGGTCAGATACTGGGACGAGTCCTCTACCGCGGCCGTCATGGAATTCAAGGTGGAAGAACCCAAGCCGGCTGAACCAGCGCCTGCTGTGAAAGAGAAGAAGGAGAAGAAGAAGAAAGGTTTGGGAGGTTCGTTATTCGCAAGGACAGGTTCTCAACTTGGCTATCAGACGGCCCCGCAAAGGCTAAAGTCGAGGCATCTGCCTTGCCCGTGTCCGACAAGCCTGTTACGCTCAGCTTCAAGGGCGGCTTCTCTGTGAACAAGCCTGGGCAAGCTGGTCCCTCCACGGCGGGGAAGAAGCCTGCGGTATCCATTCAGGCATTCTCATTGGACGATGGCGCAGAGGGCGACGCGGATGCTGGTGCAGCCGAGACGACGACGACGGAAGATCCGAAGGGTTTGTCACGCTGCTGGGAGACAGTTGCGCGTGCGGGTTAGCTGATAGGTCCCGGCTGCTG